TTTTTCTGCCTTTAAAAGTACACACAACCCACAATTCCCCTATTCGCTCCGACGAAGGGCTAACGCTCGAAACGTCAGCTTTTATAATCATAACGGTGGCCAATTTACCATTTCAACTTTGTTCATATATTCAAATAAATTGAAGTTTAAGCTTGCAATTTATTTCTCATATTTCAAGAAGTAAACTAATATATAAGTAAATGAGATTTTTTTCTGAAAGAGAACTTCAGGCAAGGAGTTGTTTTGCTTTGTTTCTATAGAAGCAGCTCCGTCAGTAACTTATGTGCATCTATCGACACCAAGGTCGGATTTAGATTTGTCTTTGAGAACCCTAACTAAGACAATTGAGGTAATTTTTTGAAGAAAAAATATCAATCAGCTCGCTGTTTAAGTGAAACTGGCACTAGACCAAGTTCTTGCAACGCATTTTTTATCATTATTTCGTCACCTGTCCAAACCGTAAGACTCCAGTTAAAGAATTTTTTTAGCTAGATTTGTTACTAACCTTCTGGAAACACGGTACTGAGCATCACAGAGCAAAAGAGAGGTAAAAGGACACAGATGTGGATGGAATGCAGGATGTGAAGTAATTTGCAGAACTGCTCTGCAGCTTTAGATATCATGGAGATCTCTATATGGTGAACGTGACTCACTGAAAAGTGAATCTAGGACTGAATGAAATGTCAAAGGTCTTTCTCTCGAAACATCAATTCTTAATGAAGATAAACAATGGGATCTGTTTTGTTCCTCTTAAAAGCGCTCAGATCATTTAATTTTAAATACTGCACGCCTGTTATGACAATCTTTATCCCCGTAGTTTTTTGAAAATTGAACTCAAAATAATGAAATAGCGTTTACATAATAATTGAGAATGTTGTTACCACTTTTTACGGATTGGCATCAACTTGCTGTTGACTGATATAAGTTGGTCCTAACGGAGAGAACTAATATTCGATAAAATCCACATCAATAACTACAATAAATTCTGGTTATATTAACTAAGCTAAAAATAGTCGATTGGCTACCGTCAAGAGTTAAAAAGCAAACGTTTCGAGCGTTAGCCCTTCATCAGAGCGAATGGAGGAGTTGTGGAGCTACGGTATTGGTGGAAGCATGGTGACAAGAAAAACAAGAATAAATTAGTAAAATGAGAAGCCTTTGTAGATACCAATGGGATTAAGAGCACCGATTTGAAAGATAAACTTTTTTCTAGAGTTTTGCGGCTTTCGAGCTACCTAAATGTTAGGAAAGACCGCAGACTGCCATATGCTGCTTAGAGTGATTAGGTACATTAAAGTGTTTAGCGACTTGTCATTCCTTTCTACGTCGCGAGGGCGTCCTCGGAATCGGTCACCTAGTCGTCTTCTTGTTTCGCTAATGTCTATCCTTTTGCAATAAGCGCAGGTTTATGCAATAGATGGCATTGGCCGAGGTGCATGTGAATTGACCAGTAATCTTAATGGATCGTTTGGGTCCCGATTGTGAATGAAAGGACATTCCGTTGTGAATGAAAGGACAAGTTTTGCATCGCACAGTGCACGAGCGCATTTAAAAGTTCCGGGTTGGTCATCAGTTTGGAATGAACTTCTGCCCAAAAGTTCCCTATGTTTTTGTCACGTTTTTGTCACGTTTTACCTTGTTACCTCCACCAATGTAGCACCACAACTTCTCTAGAAACTTACCCCCTTCACTACAAATTCTGCTAGTAATTTGAAAATATCATTCAAAATGTAAAATGAGAGGAGTGAAAAGCTCAGCCTCTGACTAATAAGGTGTAACGACAACAGACGTTCACTTTCATAGATATAAAAATATTCTCATTACCATCTTAAATTTTCGCAAAAATTAAGAAAAATACTAGATATTCTATCATCATCATCATGATTATTATTATTATTATATATTAGTATTTTTATTGTCATTTAGAATTTAAGTTGATGATTTGCTGTATATTACTTAACACATCAGTCATTATAATTACAAGTACTTTACGCCTTTTCATTATATTTCTATTAGAATTGCTCATTGATTAATTAAAACTATTTCGGCTATGCATTTGAATACATGAAAATCATATATGTGTACTGCGGTTTCATGAAATGTATCCTCACAGTGATGAGCCCTACTTATGTGGAGGTGGAAGTAAGGCCTGAAAAATATTTACCCCGTACGGGATCTTAACCCACGACCTCTCTAATACCAGTGTGGTGCTCTACCAACTGAACTAACAAACCAACTGGTCATTATGTTGATTAGTATTGAACCCGTGGAAATGAATATACGTGTAGCAGGCGGTGTGCACACTTTGATTGCGTTGCATCACTGGTCGTAAAACTAAAATTGAGTCACTTGCATCTTAGCGCGTTGGAGTGAACTTCTTTGGTGGCAGCGAGATAGCGTGAATTGACGTGGATTGCAACGGGGATTCAGTGTCTGTTGTCGTTCCCTCGAAAGTTAAAAAGTTTGACGGTCCTGCGCGACTCCCGTCGTTCCTCCGTGACGAATTCGTTCTAAGGTGGCAACTGACGTTATTAAGAAAGATTCGAAACTGCAATCTGCCGAAGAATCTCGACACAAGTGGCAACAGTTACACTCACAGTTGATGGCGGCATGAATAATTTCATAGTCAGAAGTTATATTCCTAAACACGAGTTATATAACAGGGAATTGACCCTTGACATGCAAACGCACATTAAAGAGACTGAGACCTTGTAATACAAGAACTTTTTCCACTAAGCGTAAATACGGGATTTGTTAAAGGCGAAGCCCCACGTCTTCTAAGAACGAATTTTTCCCGCTCCAACGTTTAGTAAAAACGTAAAGAGTTTCAAATACCCTTCGAGAATAGAGGAAACCTAGATGAGGGTTTTGAGAAATGTATCTCTGGAGTTATTTCTGCAGGAGAGAATTATACTTCAAAAAAGAAAATAGCAAAAGAGGTCATGAAAACGATATATAAAAGGTGAAATATGGAGCTGAGAAAGGAGAGGAGGTAAATTGAGTCTTACCTGAGCGTTCCACCTACGCTAAGGCTAGGAAAACTTCAAAATCCTGCAATGATCCTCATTTGATACTAGCTTCACTCAACCTAATACATCGCTATTTGAAGAAGGCAAAAAAGATAATTGGTGTCAAGTTTAGTTAAAATTATTTGGCATTCTTTGTTTAAAACCCTTCGTACCCGTGGTTCATCCCTCAAGCAACATCTTTAGACTCTTTGTATTCTCGAATTTTTTTCCTTTGGAATGTTTATATTAGTCGTTGTGTTAAAGGAAATAAATTAACTGACGGATTACTTTTTCGTGAAATCTGGACAAGCATTTTTGTCTGAAAATTTTTTCAAAGAAACGCACACTGGTCGAAGATGCGTGGTACTAGCCTTTCCGTAGGTGAAATAGAATGAAGGTAAGTCAGCGATGTTTATGTTTACAGGTAGTCTGACGGTCTAATTTAATTTTGACAATATTGTTATGTGAGAACCCATCAAACTTATGAGAAAACACGGACTGCTATAATGTGATGCAAACAAACCCACGAGATTCATGGATTTCGTTCTACTGCGAAAAGCATAAACTATATCGTTTAATCGTGGTAAATTTTCACCGCTATGTTTTCATGCTTTCTACTCGATTCGTTCAAACTGCAAGAGATGCTTTATCTCATGAAACATAGGGCCTCTATCTTCGCACAACATTTCGAGTAAAAACTATTTGATGTTCGAGCTATAATGAACATGCCAGTGATACGATGCATTTTCTTCTAAAGCTGGAAACTGGGTATCGAACCAGATTAAGTTCCTGCAGTGGGCTCATAAGCACTCTGGTAACCTGATGATAAGCGTAATATAAAAGTCGCCGTTTACAGTTTTCGACTTTAAGAGCACTTTTTCACATTATCAGTTTACAACTCATAAATCTGTTTATGCAATCCACAGTCATTTTTTGTTGAATTCACTGAGTTACACATTTGAGGGGGATGCGAATTATTACCCTTACAAAAAGTGTGCAGCGATACTACTTATACTTTAAGTTGATATGATATAAGATTCCATTCACCTTACGCTGAGAAAATCACTGATTTATATAAGAAGTCAAATTTCCCCTTTTAGGCTAAAAAAAACGGTATTTTGCTGAAATGTTTTGGTAAATTAATTTATCTCTGGCTATTGCCATGTGCATATTTAAATGGAATCCCGATACTATAGGCTCCTAAAGAATTATCTTCTGAATATTGTTGTAAGTAGATGCTCCACTTATGTAAATGTCTATAGTAAACTGTTCTGATAGTTCATGTTCATGGAACTATTATTGTCATTGCTTTGTTGTTGTTGGAAGACTATGGTGATTGTTGTCGTATATAAAAGTGATCCTGGTGATATCTTTTATCACCGTATATACGTAGTTTTTCTTTGTTGTCACTGTACCAAGATGTATCCCATGGCTTTGATGTGTCTCACGCCATTATCGAGTGTTGACCCCGTAGCATCGATTCCACAAGTGTTGTTGTCATCTTTCGGTCCTCCTGTTCCAAACCCGATTCTAGAGTCAACACTCTTGCAATCGTTTTGATTGTTCGCGAAAATACCAATTCTTACTTTAGAAGCTCTGTTCTTCCAGTAAGCACTCTCTGGCTCAAGATTGAACCCTTCTTTGTTACAGTGACGCTGTAAAGAGCCTTGTGGACCAATCAGTGACTTCCACGTGTCACGACCTAATGAGGTGACGCGGTAATGTCCATCAGCGATCAGTGAGTATAAGGAATTGGCTTGCATTTTGATGAGGATGAACCTAAGCTCTTGGTTGATCTTCATACCGAGGCAGATCTTAGAGAAGGAAGTGTTCCAGTAAGTAGGTAATTTAGTCTCCGCTGTGTCGAAGCCAGTCTCTCCTCCAGAGAGGTTATATTCTGCCTTGTTTCTCCAAAGATCGGAATCGTAATGAAACGTTTGCTAATTAGAAGTAGAAGAGATTTATCGTCAATCAGAAAGGAATGATAAATAAATCATTTCACCACAACGACCGACCAACCAAAAATAACAAATTTTTAGGAGGGCTCTAACATAAATTAAGTAGCAACACAATAGTTTTCTTTGAATCCGATAAGCTGAGTGGATGATAAGAGTTTTGAGTAGTCTCTCTAATTTTGATTAGCATCTGACTTTCGATGAAAATGATTCTTCCTTCAGCAGTGTAAACTTATAAAAGCGTATACTTATGAAATTTAATGTTAGATTATTTACGCAAACACTTGAAAGGAATCTAAATTCATTTTAAAGAATCAAAGATGTTCAAATAGCCTTACCATCAAATCATAAAAGCTTTATCATGATAGATAATGACTCTCTTAGAAAAAAAATCATTTTGAAGGAGACCAAGCAATTAAGATTCAATGATATCTAGGTAAAAAAAAAAAAAAAGATGGAAAGCGATGAATAAAAACCCAACAAGAAAAAGACCCTGTTGGGCGTGTGTGTACACAAAAGGCATATTACGATCTTGCAACCGTAATATTTTTTTAAACTCTTAAGTCTTAAAGTAGATATTTTAATAGTTCCGTTAAAACAAAAAAAAAAAACAAAAAAATAGGAAGAACCTTGTTGCCATCAATCTTCATAACAGGGGTCCATGTTCCACCTCCGCATCCTACATCACCCACGTGACAGAAAACGGGAGTTGGCATTGAATCGATATGGAGCGTAACAATGCCACTCACGATTACTCTATCAAAGATAAACAATCAAAAGGATAAAAAAAGAAAAAAGAAAAAGAAAAAGCACTAATCAGTCACTAAATCAATCAGTAAGACAAGAGCTAAGTTAGACTAGGAGAAAAAAAAAATTTCCCTTTTTACCTTCCTTAACATCATTAGCGCTCGATGTAAGATTGACTTTGTCGTTTGTTTTCAAATATAGCACTTACATTTGCCTGTCATAAGCTTCCTTGCAGCTCGAAACCGCAACTGCAGAAAAAAAAATTATGCGAATTGTGCAACTTTATCAAAGCTTTCGAAATCCCAGGGAAACATTCTGATGTATTGATAAATACGTACTAGTATATAAAGTAAATGTAACCATAAAACAATAACTTAGCAAGAGAACTAAAACGAATTTCTGAGTTCATTCCGATCAGGACGACACTTTTCTCAAAATGGAAGATATTTCTGAAAACTCATGATTCTTCAGTATAGACATCATCAAGGGTGCACATGTTGCATGTAGTTGATAACATGCTTTCCTAAATTCTCAGTGCAAGTCTTTAGTTTTGAAGGACTTAAACGTCTTTGGAGAATTACTTGCTAAATAAATAAAGACTGATAGTTTCGAAAGAAACTGTTTGGGGCTGCGTCGGTGGGAGTAACGAAATAATTTGGATATATCAACAAAGTTGAAATGGTAAATTGGCCACCGTAACGATTACAAAAGCTAACGTTTCGAGCGTTAGCCCTTCGTCGGAGCGAATAGGGGAATTGTGGTTGTGTGTGCTTTTAAAGCACACACAACCCATAATTCCTCTATTCGCTCCGACGAAGGGTTAACGCTCGAAACGTCAGCTTTTGTAATCGTGACGGTGGCCAATTTACCATTTAAACTTTGTTTATATATCCAAATTACTCGCTAAATAGTCAGCGTCAGTTCAAACGATGTCTTCAAAATTTTCCGAACTAAAGAGGAGTAAATATATATTTTTCCCGTTTTTTAACCAATTTTCTATTTAAATTGTGCGTTAACATTAGCAATGAATATGACTTGCATACATGTAGCTCTATCAGAAAAGGCGTTTCGAGCACGAGACAAAATTTTATTCCAGAGCGTAGACGTACAAGAAAATGTTTTTAGAATCACCACCTTGGATGACATCAGAGAGCCCCTGAGTTCGAAGTTATAAATCAGGGGTTTATTTCACTCTTTCCCCCATATACCGTGGTAGGGATGTTGATATTGAAATCAGTTTGGCCGTGGGCCTGAGAGCTAGCAGTCGATTTGCTAAGAAAAAGTAATTTTCTCCTGATTTGATGACTCTTAATGAAGGCTTTCAAACTGATTCATTAGAATTCTTTCGT